ACTGATTACATATCTCGATAATTACTCGATTTCAATATTGACGAAAGTGTTCTGGGCTTTTTTTTTGTAATATTTTTAATTAAGTGGTATACTTGCAATTTTAGGATAAAAAATTTAACAAAGCATAAGTAGTTCTAGTTTCATTCGGCCGCGGGTCAAACAACTATACGAGTGCATCCCGACCATATGCGGTAAGGGGGCAGAAAGTGTACGGGTTTCGTGGAGGGTTAAACATGATACGCCGTGGCATGCAGCCGTGGAAAGAAAAAACCCGAGCCTGGGGGTATATCTTAAGGTTTATCTTCATTTTTTTTTTTTGCAGTGTTCATTAAATTATTATCATTAATTGTGTTTAATTTTTAATAATTTGTGGTCCCTAAATTCCGGGTCGGGGGGGATCATTTCTTCCCCCTTTCTCGTAAGGCATGCGCTACGGTTCCGCACCCCTTATTGAGCACATCCTTGGACATATAACATTTACAATTCGTGTGGTATTCGACAGGAGTTCCAAATCGCCGAGCAGCCGTCAATCATCACATTGATTGAGTCGACGGTGGGCGGCAATTCGGACACGTGCAGCATATGCGTCGGCTACAAGCATCAGTTCGACATCATCACCGATGGGTCGGGCACCGCTCAACGGTTGTTCGCCGTCCAGGAGGGCACCAAAGCTCATCTTGTGTCCGCCACGGATCTTTACGAGGACGAAGAGCCCGAGTTGCTTTTGTGCTACAACAGTATGTTTCGCGCGCGCTTTACCACTCCACGCGACGATACATGTGCACGTACATAGTAGGACCGTACTTAGTGTGTAGTGTGTATGTGTGCGAATAAGACTGATTGATCGATCATATTTTTAACTTGTAAACTATGTTTTTTTTTTTTAAACCTCCGAAACAAATTCAAAAACAAAAATTCCAATACAATTCGACAGGGTAAAATTTTTTTTTTAACCGGAACGAAAAACGATCGTCAGAAAATCATGATGATTTTTATCGTTTATGAATTATCTGTTTTTTATGAAAAATAAATCTGTTTTTCGTTAGTGAATCACTATCGGACTGTACGCACCATAAGCAATTATGTAAATAAAAATAATCGCACAGTAGAATTTGAAAAAAATGTTAACAGCAATGACTCGTCGGACGGTGTTGATTTTTTATTTCTCCTCGAAAACTAACGGAGTCTATAGCCGGAGACCCAATTACATGCTGACGTCAAGTCCGGTCAATTCGAGATCGATGTAAATTCCTATCACCAATCTTTGTGGCTATTCTCGTGTGTACGGACAATCGATGTTCGATTACGACAATCGCATTTTAGAATATTACAATATTCTATTGATCTATTGCTATAATTTCTAATTTATTCGAGATCATGCACATGTACGGTATATAACATCATGTTATAAAGATATGGTTAAAACCCCGCTTTCTATCTGACAACTGGAAAAACGTTGATGCCAGACATAATCCGATGAATGATGAATTCTTTACCTGATACCACTTAAAAGTTGCGTTTGATAAACATCCGTTGCAATATATTATTATTATTATCATTGCTTTTGTTGCACGATCGCGACGTGTCATCACGTCTAAAATTTAAATAAATAAATGCTGCATGTACTACTTATGCCTATCAATACCCGTAAGCTCAACGACGTGTTCAATGACAACTGGATCATGATTAAAAAAGAGTCGTAATATCTCTGAAAACTTTACGTCCATTCGTTTAACAGAATGCGAGTGCTAGTACAATATGAAGAAAAAATATTATGTGTTTTTACAATAGTTTCGCTTAGTGATGACGATTTCCGTCAACACTATCATTGATGTATTATGTATTGTTTTCACGTCATTCGGTGAAAAACCTTTGAAGAAAAGCGGTATTGTGCATTATTATTATACTGCGTATGGCTAATGAATCCATTATTTATAATACCTCACTCGGATACATTTTTAGTTGTATTTTTTCATCTATGTACGACATCCGTATTCTAAAAACTCTTTCATGTTTTTTTCTCTCCAACCTATCTCAAAATTGTAATTATTTTTAATTTATTGTAAAAATTTTTCTTTCTTTAAGGAACGTACTTTGAATTCAAATTTTTTCCCTTACCATGAAATCATATTTTCTTTTACAGAATCGTAAACTCAACGATTTAAATAAATATGTTTATATTATTTAGAAGTCATATCCCTTTATACATTTTGATATCTTTAATAAGTTCTTACGTTTTTAATTTCAACAAGATCTATAATTATTTTTAGTGTTGTTTTTAATTTTACTTGCACAATTATTATAGAATAAATGCAATTCCTCAATATCATCACCACCAAAATGATTAATGTAGTGTACCTTATAAAAACTACAAATCATTTGGCATTTTTCTCGCTACCACATTATGATAATCATAATATAATTAATAATTTGAGTAAAAATTATGAATACCAAAATAATGAACATATAACTGACAAAAATAGTATACTTCTTGTACTAAGACTGACTAAAACTTGACTTAAACCAAAATAAAAACCTAAGAATATTTGGTTTTGATTTCTCTTATTATTATTTATTTATTTTTTTTTTTATTATTATTATTTTAAGAACTATTATTCCTGTAACAAATTCTCTTTTTATCATAATTTAAAATTTTATTTTTATTTTTATATTTAGTTCTACGCATTCTGAACAAGCATATTTAACTGGAGTACCAAAGCTTGTTGAGAAATTATTCTTAAAATTTTTCTAATACTCGTAAAATTGATGTTTTATTTACCCATCTAATTTTCGATATTTGTCTATAAATATTGTATACATGATTTTAATATTTAATTTAAGTTCAAGGTAGTTTTGGTTCAATTTTGTTATATAATGGGTATGTTTAGTTGGGAAACTTGGTATTTATTCATGAACTTTTTGACAGAACTCCGATGATATAGTATTAGTACTTTACAAATATTTTTAATACTCGTAATAACAAGGGTAACATTATGCTCTTAACAAATTGATCACCTATCTAATCCTTTTATTAGAAATATTCTATAAAATAGGAAATATGCACTGTTTGTACAAAACCATGTATTTATCAATATTAAATTCGATATTATACATAAGTGATTTTAGAAAAATGTATTAAAAATTTTACATTTTTACAATTATTTAATACTCGTTATTTAGTTTATTAAAGTTTGAATACGGACTTATCTTCATAAAAAAAATATTTAGCCGATGTACGTAATTTTTTTCCAATTACAGAAAAAAACTCCTTTCAATTAATAATGATAAATATAATTTATCAGTACATATTCATCAGAAGTGTGACGATAACATGTAAATTACTCGTCACACCCCACGGCGAGCTCATCGTGTCACGCACATATTATCCGGTCAAAAAAGATCGATAAAAAACATACCCTCATATGAATTTATTACAGCCATTAACTTAATAAATAATAATTATTAAAAATACTAAAAATGTATTTATATATATTTCATAATATAAAAATCTAACGCAAATAATTATATAAATTATAATTAAAAATATTAAAATCACATAATAGAACACGTGTATTTGAAAATAAATTGTAAAAAAGTCATTAAGAACTCACACATTCTTTAATAACTGTCAATATTTCAGTAATAGTTATAATAAAATATACTATTTACCAATTTACAGTGAAATACACATAATTAATAAACATCATTTAACATATAGCGACGACCAACAAGACAATAATACTTATAAATAGATTCTTAATACCCGATGGCTGACAATGAAGTCTGTCTATGTACTAGTAGTGATGAACGATTCACGATCTAGATCGAAAAAAAATATAGCTATAGAAAGCATACTTATTTATTCTACCTTACCAAATCTAGATTTTAAATTATATTATAAAATTGTCTTTAATTGTAAAATAATCTAGTTAATTACTTGTATAATTTCAGATTTAATAACAAGACAATTTATCAAAGATATTATTATATTACCGGTTATATAATTTTGTCCGCAGAGTTCTTTATTAGCTGCTTTGAAAGGCTTAAGAATATGAGTTATTTCTAAAAACCTATCTAACTCTGGATTGGACGACACAGCAGGGGCTTTAGAAAATTTTATTTTAATAGAAGCAACTTGATTAGAACATTGCATAAAACGATCCATTATAAAAAAAAGTTGAATTCCATCGAATAGGGCTGTTTTAATTTTAACGAGTTAAACTTGACGATTTTGATACATACGAATTTAAATTAGATATAACTGAATCAACAGAGAATATGGATAGTTTATAAGTCTAAAAATATAGCAAATAAATAAATATTATAATACATACCTATAAGTATTTGTAATTTGTAGTGAATAAAACGTTTAACAGTTAAACCTCAACTTACAGTACTACTAATATTTTCAGCTAATTCATCAAACTTCAACTACAAATTTTATATCAAACCGTAGGTGATATAAATAATTAAAAATATTATGAATGTCTGAATTTTTTTGTAATTTAATTTATTCAAGGCCCTTTCAACTAAGATAAATTCTCTGAAATAATGCTAAACAGTACAAACCTAAAACTATTTCTCAAAACAAACAACAATATCGAAAATGCTGTCCAAGATCTTACATCTTCTATAAAATCTGCCGTGTATGAATCCTCTTATAATATAAATTAAACAAAACAACCACATTTGTATAAAAAAAGTGTTACCCGCTCATATAACAAATATAATCTAATCTCACAAAAACGTCGATCCCACACCCAATTCCAAATATATCGATATCATTCTGACAAATAAACATTAAATCGACTGTCAAATACAAAAGATTGTCGCTGTAGAAAACTCAAAAGAAATACTCCAACCCCTCATCGGCTCTAATTAAGCTCTAGCCTCTTCAGATAAAGATAAAGCTGACCTTTTTGGTGAGCCTTAATCCAATGTATTCACACCCTAACCGATATTCTATCCGATCCTGAGCTCTTAAACTTGATCGATAAATTTCTATACAGCCCTTTCCCAGTATCACTACCAACCAAACTCACCTCCCCAACGAAGTAAAATTTTAAAGTTTAAAATTTAAAATTTAAAAGTTAGTAAAGCACCAGGATTTAATAACCAATGAAATTCTAAAAAAAAAATACCCGATAAAATTCTAATTCTCATTACTTACATCTTCAATTCCATATTTAGACTCTTATGCTATACTTTAGTATGGAAGTTATCAACAATTATAGTCATTCCTAAATCTAACAACCCAAAAAAAAAATAGTAACTTCATATAGACCAATCAGTTTATTACCAACTCTGGCCAAGATATTTGAAAATATCATTCTCGAGAGAATTAGACCAATACTTCAAAGACTTGATATTATTCTTAACTCATAGTTTAGCTTTAAGGCTAAATACTCAACCATACATCAAATGCGCAAGATAACAGATATAATATCATCACCATTCGAAAAAAAATTATTACTATCCCGATGTATTCTTTGATATATCGCAAGCATTCGACCGAGTTTGGCATAAAGGCCTGCTTTATAAACTAAAGTAGTTCCTACTCACCCCATACTCCTTAATGATCAAATATTATCTCAAAATCCAAGCTTTTGTTGTTTAGTAGTTTAACTCCTTTTCATCTTACTTTTGTATTCAAGCTGGAGTGCCACAAGACAGCAACCTTCTCTCGCCTGACTTGTTCAACATATACACTTCCAATATGCCAAACTCAACAAACACAATCATAGTCTCATATATAGGTGGCATAGCAATACTCTCTCTCGGAAAAAACCCAGTTCAATCCTCCATCTCTTTACAAAATCACTTAAACTTAATTGAAAACTGAGCAAGCAAATGGCATATCAAAATAAACCCCGAAAATTCGGTTCATGTAAATTTCACACTCATAAAAACCGAATGTCCTCCTCTATATTTTCAAGGATCACATATCCTTAATCTAATAGAAGTCAAATATCTTGGAACTATTCTCAATAAGAGACTAATCTGGAGACTACATTTAAAATCAAAAAAAAAACAACTAAACAACCGCTTACATTTTCTACGACTAATACTCAAATCCAAATTATATATACACGTAAAAAATATTCTATATAAATCACTTTTAAGACCCATATAGCTATCATATGCCATTCATATTTGAGTTGTGCTAAACCCTCCCAAATCCGTTCCATACAGGCGTTCCAATTAATAAACCTTCGACTTGTCACTTCTACACCCTAATTCGTATCGAACGAGACACTGCAACAATCTAAACAACGAAACAATTAGCCAATTAGCTTTTAATCACTACTCTAGATTCTACTCTAAAATATCTACACATTCAAACCCGAACATTTTATCATTCATGCAAAACTCTCCCTGTGAACTCAATACGCCGTTTGAAACGAAAATGATGCAGATACTTAAATAAATCCGCAATAAAATAATATTGCGTTGGGTTCCATCAATGGATGGCCTTCCTCCTCATAGAATTCATGTCTCACCTGTATACTTTGTCTTCATATATATTTATTGGGCTTCACTGTCATAGATTGCTTATTTCTAATAAAAAAATAAATAAAAAAAATTTTTTATTCATAAATATTATACCATTGATTATATATATAAATTAAAGGGTTAGTTCTAAGCATTAAAAGAAATTCTGAGACTGCTAAGCATTCTCTAATCCCACTGGTTGCGCCAATACATAACTGAAGTGTTATTTTGCGTAAAATCGCTAATTATTTACCACGTAGAAATAATAAGATACATGTAGTTGTACCAGATAAAGCAAAAGAGCAGGTAAAATATACAAGTATCAGTAAAATAATATCTCTACAAAACGTTGCGAAATACCTGGTTATGTCACTGGTGAACAAGTATGTAATAATAAAGCTAATAATACTCCTTTAATAGTTCACATTTTTCTCCGTGAACAATTTGACATTTGATTTATATTTCACGTATACCTTTTATCCTATATATAATACGTGCAATTATTCCACTATTATATGTTTTTATATAATACAAGGAAAAAAATTAGTTTTGAAACGTCACCTAATTTAAGCAATCTGAAAAAAAAAAGAAGAAGACGAAAAATTTAAACTTTCGATGGCTACAGTAACTTTTAAGCATTACTTTTGAAATTATTTAAAATCTCTCGTACACATACACACATTTATACGTGCTTACGTCATATACATTATATTTATGAAATCCCACAAATTAAGATTAGATATATATTATATGTGATCTCATCGCGTTCGAATTCTTATTCCAATGAGCGTTTATTGGCTTTTTCAATGTACCAGCTTAATGAATTAAGAACTAAATCAATGCATTGTGTTTTACAGACACTTGTCATTTTCAAAAACTCAGTGAGACGAACAATACGACCGAATTCGATTTCCATTGGAATTCCATTCCAAAAGACATAGGTAATTAATGACGCGTTGCGCCCTCTAATTAAGTGGTTTGGTGAGTCGCAATCAATATGAAGCGAGCACGCTCTGTGGAATAATCCTGAAAAACCGTTTGCTTTTATTATTATATTATTATCATAATAATTTTTTCTTATTTATAATAATTTATAATTTAAAATTATAATAATTTTTTCTTATTAATTTCTCTTATCCATTTTACGTGACATTTTACGGTTTTGTTTTAACGACGAGAAAACTATCAATTCCTACGTTTTCATCGTTACATAGTATTTGACAATGTACATAGTGTGAAGCTGGAACGATCAACTGGAACAATCTATATACGCTCTCAAGTGGTTAAAAATTATTTTCAAAGAGCTTACTCGTATAAAATTGGTTGATGACAAATCGCGATCTCACAACCATCATTACACCAAAATAATCATAATACATTATATTAAATTTCTCTGCAGTGTGTACCTTTCCGTACATCATAGCATTTACAACGGATACAATGGAAATCAGACTCATAATAAACGGCAATCTAGTGCAGACAATGGCGATGCCGAAATTGAAATTGATTTGCTCCAAGGTATACGCTTCCATCCATAAAATTTTTGAATGTCAAACCAACTTTTTTTTCAAAAAAATTAAATTAAATTTTACATACCTACCTCCTATCGAGTATAAATTCTAATTTATGTTACGCATAAATCAATAATGATGTTACTATTATAATTTGGTTTGTTTGATTGAACTGATTTTTATTTATTTATACATAGAATGATATATATTTTGCCACTACGGCTCCAGAGTTTTTCCACGGAAAAATGGAAAGGCTACAAATGGACCAACAAAAAGTTGAACGAGAGAGCATGTCACCACCTGCTTCACCGCACTGTAAATATACATAATATTTATTTAATTTTTTTATTAATTGTATTGAATAGTGTCGTGTTTGGGTAAACGATCGAACCGCTATGAAATAAAATCCATTTTGCCAAACACTAATATTGTATAGAAATCGCGAAACGCAAAGAATAAAAAAAATATTATCACGAGTAAATACTTAAAAAAAATCAATAATCGTGATTATAAAGTAAAACCCGAATCGTTTAAGTAAACATTATACAAAAATTAAATGATAATAACGATTGAACACAAAGATAGATATTATCATTGATTATAGAATTAATTTATTCTATATTCAATGGTATAACTCAAATATTTGGAAAAAACTAAATTGTTGAGATATACGTTAAATATCTTAATTTTTCTATCTGGGATCGATTTTTAAATGTTATACATTTTTTTTGTTTTTAATATGTAACTTAAAATATGTTTGCCTAAAGTTATTACTATCGATAAACAATAAACGAATAAAAAAATAATAAAAAAATTAATTAACGGTTAATACTCGTAAATAGTATATAAATAAATAAAAAAAATAGATTATATATAGAAATAAATTAATTAACGAACTAATAAAAGCTTAGTAGGCTGCAGTTATATTATATTTATAATGTAAGATTGGTTTCGTAATCATATTATATATATATATATTATACCTGATGGTGAATTTTTAATTTGAAACCAATCGTACTTTATAAATAAAATAATACTCTAGGCTAAGGTTTTATTGATCAATTAATTTATTTATATCTATGTATAAATTATTTTTTTATTTATATTTGAATGATAAATGTTTTAACATTTTCAATTCCTTGTATCATCCAATTACTGGTGAGCAAAAGGAGAGAAGAAAATTTTACCACGGGCTACATGATACGAATCTAAAATGAGAAACTACCAAAGAGGTCATGGTATGCGAAGTATACGTGAATTTTAATTTCAAATATTGGCAATAATATTGTAGTAGCTTTTTTTCTTTCCGCCGTAGCTTATTTAAAATTAAAGAATTGAACAAGTATATATACAATATTTATAACAAGTATATTTTTCTCTAAATCAATTTTCCATTGCTGATAACTTACCTCCAGGTATTAATATTATTTTATCAATATAATAATAGACCCCGTAACTGGTGGGTCTTCGTTTGATGGGTTGCGAAAATAAATTTCGATTAGTATACACTTCTGAAAACTCGCTTCAAATTATTCCATTTGCAATACCTTTTTTTATTTTAAAGGATTTTTTTATAATTTTCGATAAAAAAAAAAAAGAAAAAAAATATATCAAATTATTATTTCTCAATTGAGATTTTGTGATATGTATAGTCGACGTCATTAGACTATTTCAATAATAGTTTTTAAACAATTTTTTTATTTATATATATATACGATAGAAGGTCAAAACTAAGATACCTACGAATTTTATCAAATATTTCAACACAATATGCAATTAAAATCATTGCATTATTTTCATAATTTGTTTATTAAGAAAAAAACAAACAAACGTATCTAAGACAACGGAATAATGAACGCAATGTAATTATAAAAATTTAGCCAAACTAACTACGTTGTGCGAAATTCTGCATATTTATTTATTTTTTAATTTTTTTAATTTAAAATGTTTCAAAAAATTAATGCTCTTACCAGTTTATAATATTTATTATAATATGGCGTTTGACATTTTTATAATTGATGAGGGAGGGAATTGAATTTATATAATGATAATTTTAATGAGTTTTTTTCTCAAGGGATTTTATATTGAAATTACTGGCTATTATAGGAAGATTTTTGTCGAGTTTGTTTAAAAGGACTGTAGGTAGATAAGGTTTAATAAGGTGGTTTAATAAGGTTATGAATTCGAACAAAATTCTTCACATTGAATCGAAAGTATTGATTGTTTGTTTAGCGGCTTTTGCGCTGGTATATGATGGATCGGGAGAGATTGTGTTAGATACATAACTTAAAGCTATAACTTTTTTGGTTTATTTATGGATTCTTTCAGTTTTCAGTTAGGTTAAGTTAGATTACAACCTTTGTATGATGCTGTATGTCCATAATGCACATCTAGCCGGGCGGCTGCCACATTTAGTGCACTTTTATGTTGAATGATCTTCGTCATATTTAAAGCACCTAAGCTGTTGATTACAGTATTTACGCGTATGGTCATATGTTTGATATATGTGACATTGGAGTGGTCTATTTTGTTTTACATGTGGTTTTTCGATAACCACAGAAGAGTGGAACAGTATATTTATCTTGAGAATTTCTTGATTATTTTCATGAACAGCCAGTACTACGTGAAGTAGTGGTAAGAGCCGATGATTATTTTTCATATTAACCATGCATATAGCCAAGTATCCTAGTTAGGCTTGAGTATTTGAAATATCGGTTAAAATTATAGAACGATGGATATTTCCAATAACTACTTTGTACTAACGTTTGCATAATTCTGCATCGGTATCGCTTACGTAATCAATATTGTAGATTATGCTTATTTTATGTTGAGCTATTAGGAATATTGGTGTGTTTTTACACGAAAAATGTTTAGTACCCGTGAATAATATTAGTTTCTTATGTAATATTGAAAAAATTGTGACTTTTTTATATAATCACCGATATTCGAGTAGGCTTAGGTGTGACTTCAATTTAAGGTTCCTGCTCAAGCCCAACTATGCTATTATTAGGTTAGTACATTGGTTTCAATTTCTCTGTCTTCCTTGGCCAGTGCAACGTTTGATGAACTAAATGATTAATTTTTTTTTTCTTTTGCTCTATATTATTTTGAAAATTTGAAAGGCAAGAACAAATGCTGTTTTGATTTAATTGCATGTGGTTATCAAAGCAGCGTTAAACGGTCTCAAATGTGAAGTTCATGTGCTATTAACTTCAATATTGATGATAATAGAGCGCGATTAACATGATCTATGATAGTCGTTGGCACCGTACTGATACTGCATTTGATATGTGCGTAGAAAAAAAAAATCAAATAAAATGCATAAAAGTTTGGTTTTCCTACATGTATATTATACATAAATATATTCTAATGGAGATATTCTGAGAGTGGTATTAGTTGTACAGATTTAAGTTTGCGAGATTTTTGTGTACGCTTATTATTTTCGGTGGCTGTGTAGTAAAGTGCGTTTTACAGCTTATATTATTAGAATATTACATGATGGAGCAAACTGTATAATATATTTTATTAGACCGATTGGCTCGTTGGAAATTAGTAAAAAACTGCTTTTCCGAATCACCCATATATATTAAAGGGTCATGCGTTGAACATGTACTATCGCAACTCATAATCAAGTAAAACGACGTGCATAGAAATGTATAAACAGTATAGAAAACAGTATCGAAAAAAGCGGTGTGTACGCAGTGACTTTAAAAGGAAAAATAAAATATACATTTATTTATCAATCACATGGTTATTGTTTTATAGCCTTGTCGATAAGTATCATCTTAAACTCAAATAGCTGTGATATAATTATTATTATTATCGTCTGTTCGTAACCATTACTCAGGGGAAATATTTCGCGAAAAATAAACTTGCAACAAAATTACCGTTCGAATCCACATAACTTGTTTCGCACACAATTTATATTCATATAGTGGAGTAATACATAATACTATCTATATTACTTGTACATTAATACATTCGGTATTTCATAGTTTTTTAAAATTATTTTCGCCAATTCATTTTTAGAATAGGCATCGACACCGGAACGCTACGTCTTGATTACAAATATCAGTATCCCCGCACCAACGTTAAAAAAAAAATAACAATAATACGAGTGGGTAATATTAAGTTTTCCGTTATCGTCTTGGATTACAATGTATGATTTCCGACCTGCCGTCGTACTCTTCCTACGCGGGCAGTCCGTAATGACAAACAAAAAAACTATTTCTCGCTGCTTTATACGAATAATCACGTGAAAAATATCATTCAAATAGTCTAATAAAGAGTAATAAATGATTTTTTTCCACCTCCACGTTGCCGAAATATGCACGCTTGTGAATCATGATTTATCAAGATTTAGTTGCGAGAGCACCGTGTCACTTTTACGACCACTGTGTCGCAATACCGGTCGATCGAAACGTGTGGAATATTGACTGAGTTGACCGCTCTTGGCCCGAAAACTGATCCCTGGAGAATATCGTCATTTGTTGTTGTGTACTAGTCACTGTTCAAAATACAGCAAGCCAACAAACGACTGTTTATAAGCTGCAAGCGTATGTTGTGTCGCAGCCAACTATCATCAATTCGATCCATATCTATAGATATTGATTACTAATTGGAACGTCAAAGATTATCATACATGACATACCTTACATCACACCTTTTCCACGTACGTTACTCAAATTATTCACAAAAACTAGTGTTTAAACGCACAGAGTTTGGTTTTTAAAAAAATAATGAAAATACTAGTGTTATATCGTGATACCAAGTGATACCACTACTGCTATAAACGTGCGATAGATGAAAACCGAACAATTTCCGTTCATATTGCACATGTGTATCGGCAGTATTTTAATATGTAGCGCATCTATATATTTCGACAGCGCGGATGAAAATAAACGACCGTTACTTCTAAAGAGTAAGAAACCGTTAGTTTAGTTAGTAAGTTCACCAGGACCACCGCGCGTTTGAAAGCCAGCATCCAAACAGCGCGGTTGACGCCATGTGCAATCGAATCTAGGTCAAGTGTTTGAAAGTCATGTGTCATTAAGTCACGTCTCGTAAAATCATGTGATATAAAATCATTTTTCATGAATATTTTGTGTATTATAAACTTATTTCACATGAAAAAGATAAAATACGGTACGTGTTATGATTTGCAGAGTTATGGACGGGACTAATTTAAAGCACTTGCGAAAACGCGCATTTTTAATGGGTATTATGTATACAAGTGGTATATTTTTTCAACGGTCGGGTGCGTAACTTATCTTATGCATGTGCCGTTAACGATTGTTATTTTATTTGACTGCCGAATGAAAATCATAGATGATAGTCATACAAAAGCTCTAGGTTTATTTCTTACATCTCGCTATCGGGATGTTTACGCTCAAATGAAAACAATTGAAAATTCAACGGTTAAGAATTTGTTTACATTTTCTAAATTGTACCGATGTCCAATGAGTATGACTCTATTTTTTCGTAGTAATAATATTGAAAACTGTTTTCTGAAGGTTTAAACAACTTTAATTATTATAAGATTTACCACCAACCAAATAAATATATTAGAATTTAGAGAAGTACTTTGTTTCTATGGCGCTATTAACAATAGAATCATAAAAAATTAATAATTTTAATATTTAATAATGTAATAAATTGACATGGATATGTTTTGTTATAGAATCTTGATAAAATATTGTCCTAAAAGTCACACCGGTCGTCATCGTCATTGTTGAAAACTGTTCACAATAACTCACTTGTGTTGTATGTAAGACATACCCATAGGCCAATGTATCCGACTATACCGTGGTTAATTTTTCATAAATATTTTTTGTATAGATAAATCATAATACTTATCAACTTCAAATAGAATAAAATATTTAACATCCTAAAAAGCAATAACTTAATGGAAAACATTGACTTTTATACATAAGTAAATTAAAGAAAAAATAATATAACAATAACAAAAACAATATAATTGTAAGACAAAATTAAAATTAGAAATCGCTTAATTGTATATTTTATTAAAACATAATTTTTCAAGTTATGTGAAGTCATATATTAAGACTAGAGTATAGTTTTTAAAACAATAAAAACTTAAAAAAAAAAGCACTTAAAATAAAGCAATAAAACTCAATAAATATTCAAAAAATGAATCGAAATTGAATTTTTTAAAAAAAAATATTAGTTATAACAAAAAAGGATTAAAAATATTTATTAGTTTATTAATTTATTGAAAAAAAAGGTATTATAATAAAATAGATTTTTACTCTCAAACCTGCTGTTTTCATTTTTTTTCGCGTTAATTAAATATATAAGTAAATTCATGAAAATCAAAATCATAACTTATTAAAACCGATATAAAAAAATTGAAATTTAATTCATAAAAATTAAAAAACTTTTTTTAATTGATTTCAAACCCTACTGAAATAAGTATAAAAATAAACGTAGGTATTATAATTTATTGCAACGATCAGACTGAATGTATTGTCAAAAAATATTTAGTTAATGCGGGTTCATTAAATGATAAATCATAATTATCAATAAATTACACTATGAATACGACATCCCATGCATTCACGCTTATTGCTTATCATCGACAATTTATTGTTCGTTGGCAATCGATGCTCGTTCCACGAAAACTGTTATAAATTTAACTTTGATTTTAAATTTTAATATAAATAAACTGTTTTAGATAAATACAATATAGTATATACTAACCATTATTTGCAGAAAAAACCAGAAAAGTTCGGACTTATCTGGTTCGTGCACCAAAAAAAGAAAACCAAATAAGTCCATTTAGTATAAAAAATTAAAAACTATACTTATAACTAGAGCCCGGATTTATATGCATTTAAAAAGTGTCAAATATGATTCAAATATGCAAAGAAAAAGTGGCTAGATGTGCAATTATTGTATGCATTATGTTACACTTTATAAAATGTGTTTTTTTTTTTTTTTAAATACTTTTATACCAAATAAAATTCTAAATATTTTATCAAAAACAAAAATAGATGATAATATCCACTGCTTTATATTTCAAATCATCAATCTAAAACTTTTAGGAAACTTAAAAACGAGAATACAAATAAAAAAAAAACTAAAAATAAATATTGTAGATCATTTGAAGTTACCTGCTCTCAAAAACTAATAGAAAACTTAAAAAAATTCAAATCTTTTAAAATAATATTTTTGAAACAAAATACCTATCATATCTATTCGTGCTCTATTTGAGACGATTACAAAATTTACTGTAAATTAAAATAGTTAATTTATTAAAAATCCATTAAATATGCATGTTATATGCATTTACTTGTATGAACAAATATACAACAACCCTCGAAATATGCAAAATATGCAATATAAAATTAAGTGTTTAAATTCGGTGTGATATGAATCGTGGATATTTTCAATCTCCATAGATGTGCATATATTTAGTACTAACATACAATTGCATATAAATCCAGGCTCTATTATAAGTTATAACGGATTTATCTGGATTTTGCACAGACTTGTAGACGATTTCTTAAAACCTGTTTTCAAAATCGAAACCGAAACTGACATTTTTTCAATCAGTTTCAAGCTCTACTTATGTAATATATAATATTTATAACTTAAAAGAGACTAATTTCCTTGTGACCGAATCGTTGACACGTAATTTTAACAAGAATACATATAATAATAATAGTAATTAGTCAAATTAAAAAGTATAAAGTATAAAAGTATAAAAGTCCAAATGAAACTTTCTACAAAATTCAATTGAATTAATTTAAAAATTACTAAGACCTTCAACCAATTTAAATTACATTGGTATAATTGTGTTAAAACATATAGATAAAAGGTATTGATATGATATTCTAACACCAACTTTCTCCAATAAAAAAAAGTTTCCTTTCATAACTAGAAAAAGTATTTTTAAACACTTTTTCCCTTGACACTAAAATTATTATATTCATATAAAGAAAATTTATCAGAAGTTTCAAACATGAAAAAAATCTTACTTTTATAACTAGATATATATTACTTATAATTCGTTTAAACCAATAACATTCTTTTCGAGGTTATCAACAATAACGTCCCGTTTTCTCTAGTTTCGAGTTAAATAATTCCTATCCCGCCGCTGTAGCATGAAAAATAATCATCAAAACAATGCGCATTTACTTACGGCCGACCTCGTGCACCTGTACTAAGACCGATTGAGTTAGGAAAAGAGCGCTTGGCCGAAAAACAAAAAACAATTCCTAGTCTCGACTACAAGAGACCGATTCATTACACGCATCGCAACGGAATGAATCATGGTCTTTTGTTGCATGACGCATTGTGTTGTTATTATATGGGACGTGTTATTATTATCCGTTACAGGGTTTTGGTTCGGTGGTGATTTTCAAACGGTTAGTAACATCAAATAGTGTCGCGTCACAATATCGCGGTTTCTTTCGTAAATATCATCTCATGTGTATTTATGGAACGTGACACATTTGGGCGTTTCCACCGCTTTCTATCGCTAGCCACCGCAAAACGCCGTTGCATGTCGCGGTTTGACACGGCAGCGCCGCTAGAACTATTTTTGACCATTCAAAATGAGTTTTTTCGACACTGAACTTTTTATTGTAGAATTCGAAAAAGAAGAGTGCCTTTGGAAAATAAATTCTAAAAAAAATATGGTGGACCGCCATGTTGAAAAATATGGTGGACCGCCATCTTGAAAAAGCCTGGGCTAAAATTACTTCAACCATGTATCAATTATAATGGAAATCGAACTTACTTGTGATATTATAATTTATATTTTAATATATTAAAATCACTATGCACAACCCACGTGGATAATTAAAATTATACAACTGAGAACGTTAAACCGCGTTGAACCGCTTTTAGTGTGACACGAATTTACCTCCCGGTGCAACCGCGATAGTGTGACGCTACACCAAAATCCGCCAAAACAATTATCAACGTTGAAACGCTGTTGAATAGTATAGCGTTTCGTGGGGTGGAAGGGGTTACAACCGTAGAGAACCTTATCCCCCGCATACGTCACCGATCATTATTGCTACGGTCGTGGCGGCATGGTCGTTGGTTGATGTGATGATTAAGTACTGTGCATGTGTTTCAGTGTCTCCGGAAACGAAACCGCTACGCTTGTACCGGATACCTTTGAACGCGCTGACCGGCGTGATCGGCCCGTACGACCGGAAGTGCGTCAACGAGACGGACGACTCGAACGAGAACAAGGCCGTGGAGAATCTGAAATCGATGGAGATCAAGTCGTCTAGGGCGTCGGCGAGCAGGAGTTGTACGGCCTCACCAACCATAGGCCTGAACCCGCAAAACCACCTGCTGCACAAATCATGAGCGGACCCCAAGCTAGTGGTTCCTCCTCGCATGATAAACGTACACGTTAAACGTTAACATAAAATATATTAAAACGTATGTAAACAATATATGCAATGTCGCCTTGCGCGTGTCGTGCAGTTCAGCGGTGTATTCAGGCGGCGCGCGGTAGTGCCGATGGATGCGTTTAGATCGATTTTATCATCTGTAGTAAATTAATATGCATTATCGTGCCAAATCCGTCCGGATACGCTGCTGAAATTATAAAATTATCACAATTATTATAATATACATATACGAGTATATATTATTGATTACATAAATACAATGCATTTATCTTCAAAAAGTTAAGAAAAAAAAAACTACATATATTATACGTATATTATATTATTTGAATTCCTTATGGCGCTGCTAGTTCGATTTTCTGAACCGAAGTCCCCTGCTGTGGTTGGATTTAGGGACTCGGATTTAGTCCAACGGCTGCAGACTTTCTCGTCTCGTTCATCAGATCATCGAATCATTTTCTATAAGTTTTTTGTTTATTTTTTTTTTTTTGTATATAACTATTACGCATTATATTTTAACTATACATTATGGTGATGTTTTATTCTATTGGGAAAACAAATTTTCTATTTTTGGTAACTATATATATATATATATATGGTAAAATACTGATATCACTTTACCTGTACATTAAGCATAATTATCGTTCAGTCGCCGTTTGTATATACGACAATTGCAGCGCAAAATAATACAGTAATAGTAAAAGCAGTATAATATAATATCTATAAACATTAATTTTACAGGGACGTAATATTAACAGTTTAAAATCGTTTTGAAAACCTATCCCGGTGTCATAGAAGCGAATCTGGGTAATAACATTTTTTTGTGCAATTGAACGTACGAACACGTCTCGTCCAGTAATAACGTTTTTCGTTCATATTTTTACAAATCATTGAATATATATACCAAAAAACGATGATACAGAAGTAGAACTTAAATCCCATTCTACACTTTGCACTGCGACACTGCAAAAGTAGTATCTATATTATATACTTGTACTTTACTAATAAAGACTTCAACGCCACCGTCGTTTCCCTCTGACACTATGCTGTGTTCTGCAGATATGAAACAATGCAAAGGCTATGCCTCTCAATATTTCTCACACCACAACACTTGTAAAATTGACTGTTCATATTTTAAGATAATGGTTTAGTGGGTTTGTAGCCTGTTCATATCCACTCCCTCCCCATAAACTATGATTTTAGACCTATATGCTGTTGGCCCTATGAACTTCCACGCAAATCATTTATCGATCGTTCTTAATTGCACCTATCTGCCAGTAAAATACATCTAGATCCGCTCACGATCAATCTCGTGGTATAAAGCTACTGGATAATCACTGCGCCACGGACAGTTTAGCCTTATTGCGTTTTTCGGAATACACCATAACCGTATTTGTTATTATTTTCTTTCCGACTGAATCATTTCAATATTCGTTGTACTTGTACAATACGTCTTGTACGATTTAATAATACCTCTTCCTACGAGTGAACGTTCGGTGATTGCAAACTGTGCCCAAGGTACAGGTAAACACAAAATCGTACATGTAAACTGCGCCCGAGTTTTTATCTAGTGTAATAAGGTTATATGTAAACTGCGCTCTGCTGAAATTTAACAAATTGATAGCTATATTTATATAATGTAATAATATATAAATTTAAACAAAATTACAATCTTTAATTTATAATTAATTTGTTATAACCATATAATAATAATATAATAAAATTAAAAATTACAAAAAAATATAAAGGATTCATTTATACTATATAGTTTTTATATGTGTATGTTTCTATTCGAATTTATTTTGATTTTTTTATAAACATGGAAATATTTGGACGAGTTTTATAAAAGTTAGAATAAGAAGCTAGATTTTGATCACTTTAATAATTAATAATCAATAATTAATAGTTATGGTTTAAATTTTGTTCGGTAATTTTGTTGTTGTCACCTACCATATTTAAAAATTTTGTGCAAGTTTTGACTGTACATCGCCACTAAACGTCACCCTAATTCGGAGGCCGATTAATTTTACGAAATTTAAAATTTGAAATAGTTTTCAAGCACTTTTTGGGCTGCTACATGAATTGTTCGTCCATCGTGATTTCACTGATTAAAGCAAATATTATTGGTACTAGCAGACCTATGCTGGATATAGTGATAATCTACAATATTCGCATTACCGCAGTATTCAATAACGTATTTTTACAAATACTATGGTTTCGGACAAATAAAAAAATTCTGTGATAGAATTGAAAAAATATGCGACCATAGTGACTTTAATAAATTTAAATTTATATATATTTTACAAAAGGGACACGATTTAAGTTATTATACCTTTTTTAACATGAATAAAAAATTGGGCGCAATTTACATTACACTTTTTCAACATAGATAAAAATTCAAGCGTAATTTACAACAAAAACTGATAATTTGGGCGCATTTTACGTATGCCTTAAACGTCAATTCCTCTATCGTTTCAAATTATTGTCTAGTAAAGTTTTCCAGCCCCGAGACGCGTTACATTCCCAATGGGTACGCTTCACCCACCACCGACTACGATTTTTCTTACTATATGATGAATCTATATTTTATACAGTTTACTATACTACGGTATCATGTTATCACATCGGAAACAAACCGATGTTAGTTTAAGGAAAATATTATATACGTATTGTTTAATTTTAGATGTATGATTCTTATTGTACAACAATAATTTATATGGTTGAAAACGTTTGTAATGGGCATCGCGGTTGTAGTGACTTTAAAGCGATATGCAGAATTGTGAAATTTATGAATTTTGACGCTCGGGGCTAATAAAAAATCACCGCCCTTACGTAGGTGGATCAACGGGGTATGTTCATGAATTTTTTATTTTTCATAAACTGAAAAGCGCTCTTATACCAAAAACGCCTGGAGCAAGCATACTCATTTCCCCTCCCTATAACCAGCATTGCGTATAGGTACACCGTAGATATTATATCCATACCGATTACGCGATGACGTTTATTTTTGATCAATTTGGAAAATGTCTTACAGACCACGAAAAAGTTAAGCTAATAAATTATTCAGTTACTGCACTCTGTCATCAGTAACGATTACCTATTTTTATTAGTCCCTCGCAGAACATCATTACAAACGATTTCTACTACATATAAATAACGAATATTAATTAAGACATATAATATTAATGTTTATATGTATGAGTGTGTGTGTGTTTGTGTGTTTACGTGTACGTGTACGTTTACGTGTTAATTTACGTGTTTAATTCAATTTAAATGTCAATTTTTTTCCATTAAAAATATATTACATATACTATGTTGCATAAGATATCTTATAGTTTTATTTACTTGTTTAATATTATAATATTATATTCCAAAACAATAGATGTTTATATTTTTCCGTTTTGTTTAAACAATTATAGCCCGATTAAATTATGTGATAGAATTATTATTGTTCGTTACCATTACTATAATATAATAAATATTATTTATTTTCATTTATCCGTAAATAAGTTTATAGAGTTTATCGTTTATGCGGTGGAAACTGAAACAATTTCGTGCACGCGTCATAATAATAATACTAAAAATGTAATTTAGAATTATTATTAAACGTCAGTCCATTTATAATAACAATATACTGTTATTTTATTATTATTATTATTATTATTATTATTATTATCGTGCACGGACGTACGTTGCGAGTAGGTTGTAACCGTAATATGTAGATTAGCGAATTCATTACAAAAAAATAATTATTGATTTTATGTATTAAAAATATATATTATTATATCGCGAGGTATGTACGAAATCGAAGATCAAGCGTATACGATATGTACCTTAAATGTTATAAATAATAATACAACTATGATTTGTTTTAGTATTATATAAATATATAAATATATATATATATCACGTTATTGAATTAAAAAAAAAAATGATATACATTTATCGAGGAAAATTAACTTAAATATACTGATGATAATATAACATTAAAGATATACACATTTATACTACGCATTATGTGCCATTATGTATATTATATAAATAAATACAATACGATATATTAAATACTGTATATCTATTCATGATTTTTGGCGATGTTACGATTATAAATTTATTTTCAAAACGTATTTGTTCGTTATCGAAAAACCACTGTGAGCAGTAAAATGACTGCGTTTTCGAACACATACCAGGGGATGGACACAACACGACGGCAACAAAATAAGCGGCCATTTTAATTGAGGTATTTTTGTTATCAAATTATAATCAGTGATAACTGATATTCGTTATTAATTGTAATTTCAATTATGGTAATTGTTCAATATGTGATCTACCAAACAGTGTGAAACATGGTGACCTACTGGGTACCAAGAAGTTTTTACTTGTGGATCATTTTTTAGATAGTATGTTGTACCATAATACAGGCCCATGTGCAGGATTTCAGAATGGGAAGTGTTTAAAAAAAAAAATGTATAAAATAGATTCATCGATGATTAAATTATTTATATAAGATTTAGGTATTTATATAAATCTTTTAAGTATAATAAAAACGTTTATATCGATATAATACTATAAAATGCAAATCATTGTTGTAGTAAATTTACAAATATAATTGTAATACATTTACAAAAACACAATTTATATTTTTTCGGTTATGATGGAAGGTTGGGGGTTGACCCATGGTCATACCATAGTATAAGACTTATAAGCCCCCCAAATCTCAAACTCTTATCGCACCTAATACCTTGAAAAATAATACTACTATTAGTAACATTTGAAAATACGCAGTAGCTTATAAAGAATATTACTACCGTTTCGTGATGGAATAAAATGTTACTAACTTCCTACTGTACCTCAAATAAAATGGCTGACTGATTTCATTATTGTCCTATGCTGCCCATGTAATTTGTTATCAGTGTCCATTCTGTGCACATACCAACAGCAGTACCCCTCCATAGCGTTTTCCGTTTAATAGCTCTTTCGTTGTATTCGCAATTGTTTATTTTATTTATTATTTTGCTGAAAGATATAAGATTATTTTTCTCTTTAGTTTTGTGAATTGACTGGTTTGATAGCAACATAGTAGAATGAACAATTTTAGGTATATTTATTTAATAAATCAACACATTTTCTAAAGCTATAAGCTAAATATAATTATCAAACTTAATCAAAGAAAACACAACTTCAACAATAAGTTATAAAATACAGATTTTAATTAATATCAAAAAACGAAATCGATTTTTATTTTTTGTATTGCAAAATATCATTTCGTTTTTTTACCAAATATTTTAGAATAAATTACATTTAATTTGAGAAACATCAGATTAGATAGAGGCCACTTATTCTTAAGCTTAAAAGGAAGGGCCCCATTTACAAAATTTCTGGGGGTGCCCAGACACACCCGGTACCCCGCATGACTATGCATCTGACGCAGAGTCGTATTCATAGTAACCATATGCCAAGGGTTTGCGTGGACCAACGATTTCACCATATTCTGTACACGGTCTATTATTAAATTTTGTGCACCAATACATTAAATGTAAATTTTACAGTTAACTAAAGAGATAAACCCTTGCGTTGCCAACTATCAAATTCGAAAGCAAATAGGTAATGGATTCGAGGATCGAATGAGAAATCATATATCGTTTTAGTGTACATGCATGTATTTCATTTCTACTCGAATGCGAAGAAATTATTGAAAACTGTCACGTCGCACTATCAGGACCAGTGCTATCCGGCGACATAATTTGGTAATAGTTGTGGGAATGGGGGATGAAATTATTGCAAATTTTATCAATGTACCTTCCCCTCAAAGATAAAACAAATTAATACATAAAATATAAGAAAATGTATGTATCTTGTATGTATAAGCACCATTACCGGTTTTACGGTATGTGAGGCCCCGAGATCTAATATATTTATCGGGGGGGGGGGTCTTTTAAATGCATAAGTTACGGTACAATTCATTTTTTAACGCAACAATAATTGTTATTGGATATTATTAAACTTAATGACCTTATCGGTAAAAAGTCAATTCTCGTATGAATCTGTTACTTAGAACTTTAATGTTTGTACGACAGTTAACGGTTATACACCAGAAACGACGATCGAGTGGGCTAGTTCTTGTACGCACGGACGGCGCCCGACAGAAACCCAATCGTAAAATAGTCAAATCGTCATCTGGGGATAAAACCTGAGAGTGAGAGAAAAAGTAGACTATAAGTTTAGGTTTGGATATGATATGGATGAAGGTGAGGTAACCGACTAGAGTAATTAATAAATATAACAACTGTAAATTATATTAAAAAATCGTACAACAGAAAAACAATATATATTAGCAACTTATGGACTAAGTGAATCGACCACATACGGTTGTCCGTAATAATAATAAAAGAATAACAATTATAAATAAAAAATTGATAAAGGTGTACGACCTGGTAATACTAATGCAGAATTGAAGTATGGTAACGGTATGGTCGGTGGCCAACCTGTCACAACAGTTGAAAGGTTCCTTGCTGCGTATGTAGAGAGCGCCGCTGGCACATGCAAATGAAAAATTTCGACTCGACACCCGGCGATAACGTCACAAAGACACAAACTAAAATGCGGGAATTCCCAACCGTTCGGACAGTGTTGGCAGCCGTACGGTCTCGAATGGGACGGTTCGGTAATTTGGCCGTC